ATATACATATATTCATTCCAAGAACTTGGCTATGTATTTGTATAAGAAAATGAAATTTAACCTTCATGACAACCTTACTATATAGATGGTATTATATTATATTATATAGATGGTATTAAAAGATATCAAATTTTTTGCCCAAGTAGCAGGAAGAATGCAACACAATCAATTCCAGACAGGATTAACCGAGAGTGAGTTTACATTCAGGTTGTAGACACCTGCCTGAGTCACCAGTTAGGAGATAATTGGAGAGTGAAGGAAAGATAGAAGAATGTAATACCAAACACTTTGTTTGTTTCAAACTTAGATAACTTGACTGTGTTACTCATATAAGCATGGAACTGATATGAAATAGACTAAATAATTAATACACTCAATATTAACAAACGTATATCTAAAACTTTGGGATGCCTTGACTTGTTAAGATGGGATATCTAATGGGAGGGATGGATCAAGTAAAAGTTTGGTATCAGAAAATTAGTGCAATAAAATCCTTGCTACTTCTGTAACTATCACTCCTCTATGTCTATCAAAGTGTCTTATCAAATTTCATGTATTTCTTCAGAAGTTTTTTAGTGCCTGTTCCATTCCATATACTGCTGTGCTCTTTATGCGTTATGCTGAGAGGATGGTGCCTCATCGTATGAAATGAGGTCCCTGTATTCACTGATGCATTGAAGGATACAAACTCAGACACAGCTGACTAGTATACAAACACAGAGGCACCATAAATTTGAATAGTGCAACATAAGAATTTTAAAAATTATGAATTTTATCCTTGAAACTATAAGGATTGTCAGATAATTCTTTCAGGGTAATGTGATATTTACTGTGTTCAAGATGTACAGCTGTACTTTATGCAGAAGGCAGGTACTATGTGGACAGGGAATAATAACAAACTTGCATACCCTCTGCTTTTAATAAGTATATTTTCACACCCTCTAAACATACTTCTCATTTAAATATCTCTGGGACATTGATGTGGGGCTATGCTATTACAAGATTTAATTACAGGATTTAATTCTCTGCAAGAATGAGAAAACTGACCTCCTATTTCAGCACAAACGTCTTCATCTACCTTCCCTGGTTTCTCTTTTGTCAGTGCCCTGATTTTCATTCCCTTGTAGTTTCTCCCCTACTGTCAGCACCACCACTCCAAAAATAAGTAAATGAACAATATATAGAAGTCATCCATGGGAGCAACCTGTGTAACATAGATACTCTCTGAGGTTTTCAAATCATTCCCTCTTACTTGGGTGGCGGCTGCTTCTCAAGGATTTTTGGCTTTCTCTTTTTATCATTTCCGTATCTGTGTAGCAACATCTGTCTGTAGTTTTAAGTGTGAGAGGAATGCTGTAGTCCTGTCCTGGCCTCCACAGATTAAAAGTTTTTGAGAAAGTTTCTCTACTTTTATTGTTGTATACAGGACATATCCTAGAGCCTTAACTATTTCTCCATGAAAT